CCCCCCCCCCCTACGAGACACCGTCCCCCCTCCAGGCCTCACAGGCCCCCGATCCTCCTGCTGCTGTAGGTCCACAACGTGTGAAGAAACCAGATCTGTAGTTTCAGATCAGTGACACCAACTGAGATATCTGAGGCTAATATCAATATTAGAGAGTAACGCTGATCGATCGATTTACTGATCAATCAGTCAGATAAATATCACAACAGTCGAGTTTCCGTCCACATGGAGCTCAGTCAGCCTAAAGGTTCGGTAGTGCACCAGCAGGATGAAGAACCAGTGTTTGCCTCCTCACTCAGGTGACCTTTAGCCCCGCCCCCCTTACTGCTGCCCAGTGGCAGCCGATCAGACTGTGGTGCTGGGCAGCTTCCAGGTGTGAAAGAGAGACTTCCTCTCCGTGAACCCTCCCTGAATCAACGAAGGGTTATATAATCCGCAGTTATCCATCTAGTTAGCTCGTTAGCTAGCATTTTACTACAGAGGAAAACAGGAGCTAACTAGCTAACTAGCTAACGAGCTAACTAGAACTAACTAATCTACATTAATTGTTTTTGAAGACACCGTTTTGCTAATATTAGCTAACTTAAGATGTAATTGTATATGTGTGCTTTGTTGTGTGAAATGTGGTTGTCTTTTCAGCATAGATTAGCCTAGCATTGCATATCTAAGTACAGGAAAGGAGGAAGTTGCTCAACTGTGATTGGAGCACAGGACAAAGGGGGGCGGGGCTAATGAAGGGTTAATGGTTTGCATACTGCATGCAACGCACGTTGTAAGAGGCAGCTAGAAGGAAAAAGTATGTGAATGTAGCACAAAGGTAGCAGCAGCTAAGGCTCATGGGTATTGTAGTATTTAGAGAAAACACCCGATTAGTCAAAAACAATGTAAAATAATGCAGTTTTGAGGTCAAAGGTCGCAGCTCAGATGAAGTCCACAGCCTTTGTCTTTGAGTTTCTGTTGGATTCTTTGTTCCTTTGGTTTTGTCAGAAATAAAAACTTTGTCTGTTTCTGAAGATAAAATAATCAGTAATGTTCCTTCTATAAAACAAACATTAGTACCTGCTCTCTCTCTCTCTCTGCTCTCTGTCAGTGTCTCTCTCTCAGTCTGTAATGGTTTCCATGTGTTGTAGCAGTCAGCACACAGGAATGTGCCCCCCCCCCATACACAGCAGTGTTATTAACCCTTTCATTCATCAGCCTCTCAAACTCTATCATCAGCATTTTTTAAAGAAGAACATTGTTACTGACTGTTTGAAACGGAGGGTTTATTTGATTTAAATAGTTTTAATTTATCATTTATGACGGATGATATTCAGGATGTCTGCTGGGTCCTTTCAACTGAAGTTTAGGCTTTAAAGTGTCTTAGATTCTGACAGCTCTTGCAAATGGATTGGATTAATGAAGTTACATTTTTCAGTCTCGCTTTTAAATGTTTTGGGAAAAAATGAGTATTGATTGTACTGTAAAAACTACAAAGTCAAACCAAGATGGAAACAATACTGATTTTCCTTCATACTTTTATTGTCAATAGGGATGTAAAACAGGCCTTAGATTGCATTCATAATGGGCTTAAAAAGTCTTAAATTCAACCTGCTGAATGTCTGTGTATATAAACCATAGACAGTATAACTAAAACTGTCCCTTAATTATACATAACTTTAATCCTTTATTGAATTTAAAGGGGTGAGTTATATAAAGAGAAACATTTTAATATGGGGCAACTTCCAGTGTCTGTTTAACCTGCTGGCTTCTTATTAATTAAATAAAACAATTGTTAATGTTTTATCAGACTTTTTTTGACCTGTTGGTTGAAAGATTCACCTTAATTATACTTTTTATTTTCAACAATATTATCTCTCCTTCCTGCTGGTAATTACCTGAGTATGAGCTGTAGTTGGCTAACATGTCGTTAGTACTGTAAAACTAAAGGAGCTGTACTACAGTAGTGGTGTAGCCACTGGTACAAATCAAATCGGTCTAATTGCTCCGGATTAATTACTTAATTAATCAGTCTATAAAATGTCTTGTTTTGTCCGACTGACAGTGACAAATACATTTATTTTACTGTCATTAAACACTTAGAAACTAACAAATATTCACAGTTTAGAAGCTGGAACCAGAATATTTTTGAGACTCTGTGATAGAAAATGTAGTTTGTGATTTGGGGTTTTAACTGTTAATCATCTGGTTCCAGCTCTGTTCAGACTGTACGTGTGTCCCATAATGTCCTACAGAGTTCAGGTCCAACAACAGGACTTTTAAAAACCACTAAAAACACCATCAGAACTGAAACCCTGGAGAGTGCCAGGATCCTTCAGTCGTCTCTGGTTTCAGTTTTAATGATGTGAGGCTGTTTTTAACTGAGACCAATTAGTCGGTTTCTCTGTCTGAAGATCAGCAGGAGCGGATCCAGATCAGCGTCCCTCCTCCTCCTAGCCCAGACAGATGATGAGCTCATGTTTCCTGCAGCAGAAACCATGTGGCTCTGAGGAAGTCTTCTGTTTGTTCTGATTAGACACAACGATCCATCGGGAAGCAACAAAAAATAATCAACATGTTGGCTCGAATACTGAAGAGTGGTCAGTGTCAAAGTCAGGTGACCGGGTATAAAGAGCTGAAGCTGAGGGCAGTTTTTGAAGAGTGAGAACGTATTTCACCTTGTAGAGAGTTTAAAATAAATGTTAAAGAACAAACAAACTCATTCCACATCTTCTTTTAGATCCTGCAGACGTTCACTCGTCGTCTTCGTAAAGAACCGTATCATCTGCATACGTGTTGATTAGCACTCTTCTGTCATTAGCTCATTCTTGGCTGTACGTACCGAGATGTACCAGAAGCCTCAGACTGAGTCAGTCTCTGTGGAGAGTCAGGAACTGTGTGTGGCAACAGGGCAGAGGTCAGAGGTCAGAGGTCAGGTTCATGGTGGCTCCAACAGGAGATGAAGTGAGGTTTAACATGGCGACAGTCGTCTGAATGAAAAAACAGTACGGGTATGATGCGATGTGGTTGTTCCCGAGGCTTATAGGTCACTGACTGAAAATTACCTGACAATACTTTTGATTATCAGTTTATTATTGATCAGATTATTATTTATAAAGCAAAAGCTCCTGTTTTTTATCTCAGTAAACCGAATATATATTTGGGTTTTAAACTGTTTGTTGGACAAAACAAGTATTCAGTAAAAGCACAACAACAACAATGTAAAAATACTCTAAAGGGCAAAATGCTAGCTAACTAGCTAATCTACATTAAAGGTTATTCAAGATGGTTTGAAGGTAAAAGACACATATTGTCACATCAAACAGTGGTTAACTAGCTAGCTAATTTACATTAATCGTTAGTTAATGATATTTTATCTTATAATATTGATTTAACATTAATTAATTTTATTATTGAAGCTCAGTTTTCAACCTGTTTCTTTATTTTATTGGCAGTAATTGTGCTTTCCTCATCATAATGTCGACCAGAACAGATCTGATTGAGAAAAGTTAAAGTTATCCCCAGTAGGGGGGGCGGCTTTTCCGCTGAAAGTCCTGCTGTGTGTTTGCAGTGCACATGTTTATCCTAATATGTTAGTAAATAATGAAACAGCTGTTTTGAATAATTATGGGACAGATGTTACAGAAATACTTTCACATGAATTATTCCAAGTTTCATATCCAACATTAGATATTCAGCTAATGTACACAAACTGGGGGGTTATTTCCAGAATAATGTATGTCCATTAAAAAGTAAAAACAAAGCCAACTGATAAAATAAACCTAATCAACCTTTTCCAATAACTTATTGATTGAATCAACAAAACAGCCGATCAATCAGTTTGATTACAATGATTAGAACTTAAGCATCAAAGTAAAGCACCAGAACGTCCCTGATAATACAATATCAATTATTCATGCACATTGTTGATTTATTAATGGTTTTATTAATATACTGTAGGATATATTATGTATTATCTAAAGTGAAATAACAGTAACGTTGGGGCTGTCGGCCTGTTGAGGATCTGCAGCTGTTGGTTGAAATGCTTCAGACCAACTGTGACGACAGCTGACACACACACACACACACACACTCACACACACACAGACACACTTTCTCGACCATCCTCCCCCCTTTGACTCCCACACA